TACTTCATGTCCTGTATCATTCTTTTTAGAAAAGACCTTTAAATCAAGTCTATGAAAAGCCATAACAGCATAGAATTTAGTTTATAGTGATTTAAATTATTGGCTGCAGTGGAACAATTTTATTTAAAAAAAAAAATTGGTAAAGCTGGTTGAATAAAAGTAAATGCAATGGCCCTGTCAACTCAGAGCCAAGGATTGGCTTAGCCAGAGATAGGCCTTTTAAGACAGGATCACTCTATACCTCAGCTGGGCCTGGAACTTGTTTGGCAGAACAGGCTGGCCTCCATCTCACAGAGATCCGCCTGCCTCCAGGGTGCTGTGATGGGACTAAAGTCAGGTGCCACCAGGTCTGGCTAACCAGGAGTAATCCCAACCTTTCCAAATGTCCCAATGTGAAGTGGTCATACTTCTCTTCATTTACAAACTTTGGATTGTCTTCTGCTAACTATGCTTTTGAATTAAATAACTACCATTATTAACTGTAGATCTCAAGGTATTTTTAAGGGAGGTCATTGTGTTTGTTTCTGGTCAATATTTAAATGAGGGTTTCACAGTCTATATGAGCTTCATTTAGAGTTCTTATCCTTCTAGGGGTGGATAGATGGCTCAGTGCAGTGGTGAATACTGCTTGCTGCTCTTGCAGAGGACTGGATTTTGGTTCCCAGCACCCACATGGTAGCTCACAACCATCTGTAATTCTAGTTCCAAGGTATCTGTTGCTGTCTTCTGGCCTCACAATACATACTACAAATGTGGTGCAGAGGTGTGCATGCAGGTACAATACCCATGCACATAAAGTAAAAATGAATTAGTCTTAGATTTCTCATGATTACATGATTCCAGCATATATAAAATGGACTAGTTAACCAAAATAAAAATATGAAGACCACACGGATTATTTAGCATGAATATTACTGTTGGTAAATGACTTTAGATGTACTTTCTAAACATATGTTTAAAATTTTTATTTATATATATGGTTGTTTTGCCTGCATTTGTGATTGTGTACCACGTGCCTGCCTGGTGCCCCGGAAGGTCAGAAGAGGGTGTCAGATCCACTGGAACTGAAGTTACAGGGGGCTTGTGAGTTGCCTTATGAGCACTGGGAACTGAACCCAGGTCCACTGTAAGAGCAGGAAGTGCTCGTAACCACTGAGCCATCATTTCAACCCGCTTAGATGTATTTTTATAAAATTATTTTTTTAATATTTTATTATTTTTATTTTATGTGTATGAGTGTTATGCCTGCATGTAGGTAAGTGCACCCATGTTGTGCAATGCCTGTGGAGGACAGAAAAGGCTGTTGGATTCCCTGGAACTGGAGTTACAGTTGTTAGCTGCTATGTGAGTCCTGGGATTCGAACCCGGGTCTTCTGCAAGAACAGTGTTCTTAACCTCTGAGCCATCTTTCCAGCCCCCATATTATTATGAATTATACTTAGTAACAATGACTATGAAGAATTAGAAACAGCCAGGCGTGGTGGTGCATGCCTGTAGTCCCAGAACTTGGGAGGCAGAGGCAGGCGGATGTCTGTGAGTTCAAGGCCAGCCTGGTCTACATAATGAGTTCCAGGGCAGCTGGGGCTTACAGGGAGACCCTGCTTCAAAAAGACCAAAAAAAAAAAAAGAATCAGAAACTGATTTATGTTTTTCTCTAATACTAAGGTAAGATTTTAAAAGAATTAATTTATTGGGGCTAGACATGTAGCTCAGTATTAAGCGTGCTTACTGACATATATAAGTCCCTAGTTCAATTCCCAGGAACAACAACAATAAAAATAATAATAAATATATAATAAAATGTGGTAATAAAAAATAAAATATAGTATCTTATTGGTACTTTTGATAGTATTAATGAAAGAAAAATAAGTGTGAAACACTTAAAAACCTAAATTATAAACTCATAAGGAAAGAGGAGTTTGGAATGATCATTCTTTGGATTACTGATAACATTTAAGTTATTAAAGTTATAGAATACAAAAATTTTGATCTAGAAGAGGGAAATGGACAAAAAAAGTCCAAAGTAGACATAGAAAACCTCATGAGGAGATTTTTGAAATGGACTGTGCCAGATGTATGCATGTGAAAGCTGTGTGCCTGTCTAAGCGTCAAGACCAAGAGTGGTAGAACGTAAATAACTCGGGTGAAAAACTAAGCACATTTTATATCTATGAAGCTTGTGAAGTTTATACCTGCAGCTTCCTGGTTTTGTTAATAGATTGTCTTAAAGTGTTTAACATTTACTCTGATGATGTTCTGTGTGCGGAAGAATTAGTGTGGAAAAATATGAACAGAAAGAGTACAGATGCGTCTCACCTTTGCAAAATGACGGCTACAGGGAAATCTATTGGCTAGATACTTGCATATGAAGATCTCTGAAGAGTCTGAGAATTTCTCTCCTGGCATTTTGTCTTGCCTCAGTCATAAATGCAGGCAGACAAAAGAATCTTCTAGGCCGGAGATGAGAGATTTTATTGCTTACAACACAGAGATTAGTGTTAGCATGCTTGTATCCATTCTCTTTACTTCTGGTCCTGTGGAGACCAAATGGGCATGATCATGCAGTTGGCTGTGTTACAAGAGAGCATCCCTGAGCTTAGGGAGCTTGAATGTTGTGTAACAGGCTGTGACATGGCTGCCGCTTGCTCTGGAAGGGGTCACTATTATACAGGATAGTAAGCGTCTCTACCCTTTGACCCAGAGATACCTACCACCTGTGACTCTTGAGGCTTGTCACTATACAAATATCCTTGAAAGGCTTATCAGAAAAGAAGATAATGCCTTTGCTTATAAAATGTACAGAAACATAAGAGACTCTTGAAGAGATGTTTCCCACCAGACATAAATGCTTTCACATGCCACTAAATTTTTAGTAGTATTTTAAATGACTGCATAAAGAAGCAGTCACATACATGGAGAGAACACAATCTACCAACAGTCTCCTAAAACTGGTCTTTTAAGTGGTTTCCATGAAAAAAAAAAAAAAAAACAGAAAGCTTTATTTCCACATCAGTTTAGGGAGTGAGGATAGAGTATGGCAGTGGTCTGTGTGTTATAGCTAGGTGTGGAACAGATCACATTTGGGCTCCCCTTGGTTGGAAGCCACACAGCCCCTTCAGCTCGGCTGTGTGTCTAGATGGACATGCAGCTGACTCAGAGTAGGGAGTGCTGGAACTTGTATGCATGCAAGTATCCCACATGGAGGTTCTCCAGGAGCTGTGGGATTTTCTTAAGGATCTAGAATATTTCATGACTGACACAAATTATGGAGACAGAGGACTCCATGAAACACACTCAAGAAATCCATTTGCTTATCAAAAACTATCCCAAAATGGGACTGGAGAGATGGCTCAGTGGTTAAGGGTACTTATTTACTGCTCTTCCAGAGGACCCAGGTTCAGTTCTCAGTACCCACATAGAGACTGGCAACTATCCACAACTCCAGTTCCAGGGGATCTGGTGCCCCCTTCTGGCCTGTGCAGGCACTGCATGCATGTGGTACATTTACATACATGCAGGCAAAATCTTCATACACAGAAAATAGAAAAGAAAGAAAGAAATCAAATTGTCCCCAAATATCCTAGTTACAGTTTGAGACTCTTAAAGATGAGAGGAGGGCTAAACTTCTGGGTAGTCAGTGGTCATAATGAAGCTGGAGGCAAAGGTTTGTTTTCTAATTTTATTATCATTGTGTGTGGGGTGTGTGTGTGTGTGCAGGATATGTGTGTGGTCATGCATGCCATGACATACACATAGACATTGAGGGGCAAGTTTGTAGAATTGGTTTTCTTCTTCCACCTTTACATGGGCTCCAGAGATTGGAATTCAGGTTGTCTGGCTTGTGGGCAAGCACCTTTACCTGTTAAGCCATCTCACTAGCTTTAGATATTTTATTTTTTGAAGAGTGAAAAGAAATCCAGTGATGTATTGAAAGTTTATAAAAAGTGAAACATGAACATATCTATTCTTAAAACCAGTCCTTTTGAGTACATAGAGCTCTCTGTGAAGTTGGAGATAGGAAAGACAGAGGTCTCAGATTCATCGTAGAGCATCAGAGCTAGAAAGCAAATAAATTATAAACACATGAGATCCTGTTAAGGGGTGAAGAGTACTGTGGGAAAATTAAGTGTGCTCTGATGGAATCCCAATGGGGACACAAGGTGGCAGGTGGGGGTCTCTGTGAGAGGGAGTGATTGGAGAGGACCGCTCTACAGAGGACACATTTGGATTGAAACTGGGAGGCAGAAGAGCAGTGCAACGTGGGCAAAAACTGTGAAAGGAGAACAGGTTCCACTCACTAATTAAATGGAAAATGGAAAATAGCCCTTTGTAAATACCTCTGCCTGCCTGCGGGAGAAAAATCTCGCCTGAAAGAAATTTTACATAATATCAAAAATTACCACCTAGTTTTGTTGGGTTGTGTTAGAGGCCTAAAGCCTTACTTGTTGGCTGGATGGCTGACTGGATGGATGGATGGATGGATGGATGGATGGATGGATGGATGGATGGATGGCTGGATGGTTGTCATAGAGGTGATAAATAGAAAGTTAGATCGATGTCAGATGCCTACATGATACATAAATGGATGACTGATGATATAGATGATACAGAGATGGTAGTTAGATACAAAGATATATACATACATAGATAAATACATAGATGGATGGATGGATGGATGGATGGATGGCTGGATGGTTGGATGGATGGATGGATGGATGGATGGATGGCATTAGGAATAGATACTTATCCTGAACCCTTCTCATTTCTAATTTATAGCTATATCGAAAGATGCCACTCTAAGTGGATACCATGTGCAGATTCTGACCCCAGCTACTTTGTCCATTTTGAGAGCAAAGGTGGTTGTTTGTCTTAACTACTGTTTATAATTCTTTCCCGCAGAGGTAGCAGTTTGTGGCTCAGTTCAACTACAAGTGCCAATTGTTTGAGTTGTTTTTCTCTTCACTTTATAAAAATGACCACAATGATCTTTATCTTACCAGACAGGAAGCACTACTGGCGGCAATCAGTGAAAAAGATGCAAACATTGCCTTGTTGGAATTATCTGCCTCCAAAAAGAAAAAGACCCAGGAAGAAGTCATGGCTCTCAAGCGGGAGAAAGACCGACTAGTGCACCAGTTAAAGCAGCAGGTGGGGCGTCCTGCACGAAAGGTGTGTCTTGCTGGGTGTGGGCCCCCGCGCTTTCTCTGGGTTTCGCTTCTCTTCATGTCCCCACGTCCATTCTGCAGGCTCAAGCAGCTACAACGAGGTAGGATGAAATGGCCTGGACTGCAGCTGGAACACGTTACTGCTTCTCTGTGTTGACGTGCATGTGGCTGGGCTTGTGTGGTTTGTGACTGGCGCTGCTTTTCTTTTCTTTCCTATTAGCATCATCTCCTCAGAAACGGCTCTCAGCTCTCTTCCAGTAGACTTGGACTTCTAATTAAATCCTAGGAACTCCTAACTAAATTCTAGGGAACTCTTTCCCGTTGGACCTGTTGCCTTCTGTCTTGCTCACTTTGTGGGCTCTGTAAAGAACTCCCTTCGTCCAGTTAGGTTCCTTTCCTCCGTGTGTTTTGGCTTTGGTTCTTGGGTGTTTCCTCCAGGATCTTTCAGCAAAGGAACATCTCCCTCATTCTAGCACCACTAGGTCAGGCTTAGAGACCTCCTATCTGCCATTATCCTGTCTAATGTTTTAATGCCCTCTCCCCTTTGTTCAGTGTCTCTTCCTCTCTAGGCCATTGTGTTTATTTTAGGGAAATGGAAAGAGACAGTCCTAACTTCTGCAGAAAGCACTTTGCTTTTTTGTGTGTATGGGTTTTCTGGAAATAGCTAGAGTAGAAATAATTGTATCTGAATATTTGGAAAGTCTTCCCTGAATTTAGACATGTTACTTCTCCTCCATTTATCACTTGGGAAAGGACTCAAGACGTAGCTCAGTGGTAGACCACTTGCCTAGCACGCATGAAGCCCTGGGGTTCTATCCCCAGCACTCAGGCAGGGATGGTGGTAGAAATCACTACTCCTATGTAGCTTGGGAACTTTCCTAAAGCAATAGTTAAAAATACTCATTCAGAATCTTACCTCTATAACCTCCTCAACTCGATAGTCTGTGGCATCCTAAGCTGGCTGCTAAATATTAACTAAACTCACCTGTGGCCCTGAAGCTCTCTAAATGGCACATGGTTGTCATCCAGGATATCCACAGGGATTTTTGACCCTCGGGATTGGCTCTCTGCCTGCTAGAGTATACTATGCTGAACACAGTGTCTGGGAATAAGCCCCCCACCTTACAAAGGAGCCAACTCTTTCCCTCCTCTTCAGGAAGGAAAAGGCATTCTCTAGCCCTGAGCCAGAGTCCATTTCTTACGGGGCTGCCTTGCTGAAAGACAGAGAGAGAAACTGTCATGCCTGGGCACCTTCTCCTTGCACAGGGAGGGTCTCAGTTGCTGCCAGACATTGGGGTCATTCCACAGAGCGGCATGCCTCGCTAGCTAGCGCTGGCCCCAGGGATCGGGACCGCTTACATCTGACCTCTTTGTTTGGGGCTGTGCATCTTCTACACTGGGTTTTCCAACCACTTGGCCACAGAAAGTCAAGATGAGCCTCCTTCTTTGCTTTCCCCTAACCCCTTCCCTCTGTACCTCGTGTCCTCCCTTCTTGCACCTAACCATTGCAGCTTTCTCCCACAGGTTTATAGACCTAGGAAACAGCCCCCAGGCTCGAATATACCATGCACTTGTGATGCTGGCTACAGCCCAGATTTTACGGCCAAGTACCACGGGTCCAGCTACGATGCATACATGATCCAAAGGTCTCAGGTCAGTCAGTTGCTAAGGAGACACACCCCACTGTGGGGGGGTGGGAGTGCGTAAGAGCTACCTCCTATCCTGATCTTCCCCACCTCTGCGGATTTCTGGTGCTTGGTGGCCAGAGTCCGAAACCACAAAGAGACAGCATCTTATTGTGATTCACAATATAGTTTCATTTATTGTGTGTTTCCCATTGGTGGCAAGCTTGTAGCCACTCAACAGGGTCAGACGGCCTGCTGCCAAACTAAAGAGCATTGCCAGCCCATAGGGGCTTATTCTGTTCTCTGTCTTAGATATTTTTCTCCTAAAATCTGTCTCCCTTTCCCAGTAAGCAATTTTCAATCTGCTTTCTCCCTCCTTTCCTAGCATCATAAAAACACACTCATAGATGCCCATAAGAATTGAGTTATGTCCCTTCAGTTTGTTCCTGGGAAACTGCACATAGCCTTCATTCGTGAGATAGGTTTGGCTTGTGGATTGTAGGACACTTTTGGGAAATCCCAGGTGTGTAAGTTAGGCTCCCTCTGAGACTGAGGCAGGGTCTGAAGGGTTGTTATGGAGAAGGAGGTAGCAATGGAGGAGGGTGGCTCCTTGGTGATAGGCTCAGCTTTGAAGTCCTGTTTGACCTACAAGAGAGCAAGAACAATCTTGAGTTTAGATGTCTTCATTGCAACAGACTGTGATTCTAAGAATAATGCCTGATTTACTTGTAAAGGCAACCCCACTGCCTTCATTGTTTTCTGTGGGTTAGGATGGGTGCCCATGGTCCCCCAGGAATTTTGTTTCCTAGTTATCACAGCAGCCCTATCAGTGAGAGACAGAGTTATCTTTCTTTGTCAGAGTGTGGAATTATTCCGCCCACAGCTGATAGTATGCCTCAGACTTTAGGAATACCTGGTTCCACAAATCCCCATCCATGTGCAGGAAGAAACGCTGAGGGACAAGTGGCAGGGTGTTTCCAGAAATTGTGAGGTTCGTCTGTCTTCATAAGCCTGAAGTAGATGCTAAAAACGGTACCAGCCTTTCTCAGAGAGTGGGTTCTGCCTGGACTTCTTAGGCTGAGGCAGTTCAATCACATTAGAAGTAATGTCTGGCACTGTGAGCTCCCTCCATGGTGCTAGGCATAGGTCTAAGGTCTTTGCATGCATTCACTCAGTTGTCCACAGGGGACTGAGGAGTTGATGCTCTTAGAGAGAAGGAGCCAATGGTCCGAAGAGACTGAGCACTTTGCTTTGTGGCATCCACACAGCTGAATGTACCATGCTGCTGAAGACTTTGTCAAACAGTCTTAAGTGGTTTCTACTGATGATATCCAGAGTTGAAGTGCTTAAGTTGAACCTCATTTCTAGCACTAGATTTCTGGGTGATCTTAGATACTTCCCTGGACCTCAGTTTCATTTAAATAAGGCTAAAAATAAACTGACCCAAAGACTTGAAGTGCAAGGTATACAGAGTGTTTCACACATGCCTAGCCATAGCAAGGGCTGTACATACAGGTGTGAGCTATTTCTTATACGGTCTGTACTGCCGTGGTTACCTTTACTAGTGCTACTGGTAACTCTCAGCACCACCATTCTGCAGAGGTAGTTTAATCCTTATTTCATCATGGCTGTAGTGCACATAGTTCAGTGTTGCAGCTCAGTGGATGCTCAGTAGAAGGAAGAGTAGACAGATGCTGGTACCTAGCCTTCCTAGTCGTCCTGCCCTGTAGCTCAAGCACATGGAGAGTAGCAAGTAGACATGTCAGGGGCCCTAGACACCCCATTCCCCACTCCCTCTGGAGCAACCCACAGCACTTACTATGGGCGTAGTACTTACTTGTGTGCAGCCTGTGGAGATAACAGTAAGGAAAGATGAGCCCAGGACCTCCTTTGTTTTCTCCTGTATGGCTGACTGGGCAGAGCATTGTTTTCCCTGGGGCCAGGCAAATGGAAATGGTAGAAAGGCTATGGGGCAATGCAGCCATCCTGCTTAGAGTGTGCATAGGTAGTGAGGCTGGCTGGCACATGAGAGATGTCACCATGTTCTTCAGACTGCTTTTTTAGCTCAGGGTATCTTATACAGAAGGTCTCTTCAATGCCCAGTCCCTGCTGGGTGACTGAATAGAAGTGGTTCATTCAACCACCTCCATAGTCCTTGTACCTTACCAGACACATAAGGAACACTCAAAGTACATTTGTTGTAGGAATGCATGATTATTAGATGCCAAGCACCATGCTAAGCATTTTATGTGTACACACACACACACACACACACACACACACACACACAGACACACGTAAATTTACAAATATTATGTCCCTTTTTCCTCTTCATCAACCAACCACCTTATCTTCTGCATGTCGGGCTGTCTACTAGAATTCATCCATGTACCTAGATAGATTGCCTGCCACATTGAGAAAAGTATCGTTTTGATTTTAAAGTGATCAGAACAATGTTCCAAGAGAATATGTGACTTAACCACCATCACAGCACTGACTGCTGCATGCAGAATTGGGCTCCAGAGTCGGCAGGGTGCTGAGACTTAGCTCTTGCTGGGCTGAATGCTGCAGTGTGACTGGCCTTTTGGTTCTCCTGGGTGTTAGGGTAAAGACAACTCAAAGCAGTGCACTCCATCACGCACATCTGTCTGTCCCGCACCTCACAAATGTTATCCACGAAAGCTAATTCCAGCACCTTAGCCTGTGATTTTCAGCTTTCTTAGGGACTCAGGGGAGAAAGAGGTTGGTTCCTTGGTGAGACCAAGTGCCCTATAGGTATTCAACTCAGTATGTTTACCTTACTGAGTGCCTACTGTATGTTACAGTATTAGGCAATTTGGGGCTTATATATTCAGTTACTAAAATCAAGACCCCTTCCTCATAGAACTTATTTTTGAAACAGGGAAGAAATATCATTAACAATGAAAAAACATCAGTAAATAACTGTAGGGTAAAGAAAAGGTAAAATACAGACCCATGTAAGAAGGACCAGGAGAACCGAGGCAGGACTGTGGGCAGTGACAATTCAAAGTAGAACAAACAGGAAGAGCTTCCGGGGAAGGAGACCTCAAGCAAAGACTAGAACAGGGGTGCAGGGGTGGAAGGAATGAGCCTTGTAGATGTCTGGAACATGGAAGGGACAGCCCATGCAAAAATCCGTAAGCTGGACTGGGTTTAGGAAGCATCAGGCAGACCAATGGGCTGCTGGGAATGAACAAGAGGTGAGCTGCGAGAGCAGTAGTGGGCGGTGTGGCCTATGGTGAGGCAGCGTGGGCTGTGGTGAGGCAGCGTGGGCTGTGGTGAGGCAGCGTGGGCTGTGGTGAGGCAGCGTGGGCTATGGTGAGGCAGCATGGGCTGT